CCACACCCTTGCTTGCACTGAGAGGATAACAATTTTCATTGTTATCTTTAATCTTTTGATAATAGCCACACTCACTGGCTTGAAGTGATAATGAGTTGATGTTTTGATTTGCATTTCCCTGATGATTAGCACATTTAAGTACCTTTTCATTACCTGTTCACTAGTTATATGGCTTCTTTGCAGTAAAGTCTACTGAAATCTAATGCCTACTTTTTAAACCAAATTATTGGTATGATTTCCCTATATAGCTTTCTGCTCCAGTGTTTCTGGCTTATTCTAACCCTTTCAGGACATTCTATCAAACCAGAAGCTATTAAAACAAGTACAGAAAGCACTCATTTCCTTACATAGCACTAGCAATAAAGGCTTCCTGAATAGTGGCTGATATGTGTACCTGGTATGCTAACACTGCCAGAGCTCACTAGAATTTCTAGTTCTACTGTCCCCTGCCACAGGGAAGCACTTAAAACTGGAGGGTAATTATCCTTGCTCTCTCATCCTGCTCCACCATAGAACTGCAAGTTGGAAGGGTCTTGCTATAGACTGAAGCCACCCTATGAGTGTGTAAAGATGTATGGTTGAGTCTCTCCACCACAGAAGTCCAGCGATGGCTAACTGTGCCACATGAACAGCACTTTTCTATTCTGTTATGCAACCACTTGGAGCCTGATGTTGGTACTACAGTGTAATCTGGCCTATTGTGACTGACACAATAAGCTCTCTAAATTCCATAACTTGCAGAATAAATCTTGTGTTTTCAGGAAAATTTCCAGGGATGGAGCAGTAGGAAGACCATGAACAAGATTCCAATTCCTTTTTATGAGGTCATCTAAAACAACTGGGCAGTTCGAACTCTGCTTCCTCTCATAATTATCTTACTATTTTTACACTTCTTCATGTATTTCTGTTCCATTTCTAATCTCTGAAATGTCCTTATGTCACGTGCCTTTTTCTGAAGTTTAATTACATTTTATAGAAAGATTTGATACAGGGCCAGGGAGATGGCTCAGTGGAATAAGTGCTTCCCTGGCAAGTACAAGGGCCTGAATTCAATCCCCAGTTCGACAAAAAAAAAAAAAAAAAAAAAAAAAAAAAAGACTTGATACATAAAGCTGCACTATGAGAAAGCAGTTAATTTTTCCTATTCCAGGATCAATTTTAAAGGTGGCAGAAATGTACTTTCAATTTTATAATTCTAGTAACTTTCAAATATGCAGACACTACTGAGGAATTTCAGTGACTAAGCTTCATATCACTTTGTCCTTAGGTCCTCAAAAGTATAAGACTTTAGAGAAAAACATTTTTCCAGACTGGGCATGGTAGCGCACGCCTGTAATCCCAGCTCTTGGGAGACTGCAAACAGGCAGATCACTACAAGTCCCATCTAGTAGTGAGACCCTGAACACCCTGTAGACAGGCAGATGACTACAAGTCCCATCTAGTAATGAGACCCTGAACACCCTGTAGACCCTTCCCTAAAATACAAAAATAATAATTAATAAATCTCTAATAATCAGCACATACCACAGATACCACATTTCTCACATAAAAATCACCTTGATATTTATCTGTCATGAGGGTAATGACCAGAAATTTTTTGGCCCAATAGTACCTGCATAACTGCAGTAAGAATGATATACTAAATTTATAAAACTTTGGAGCCGTGGCACTAAAACTCAAAATAAATAAACAACAATAAATGGAACTCAGAAGATGAGCAATAATTTAAATTGTCAAAGGAGTCATAACTAAAAGATTCTTCAGGAGCTATTAAAATGTTATAAAAACAATTATATATACAGTCATGGTAGTGTACATCTATAAGCCCAACACTCAGCAAGCGGAGGTAGGCAAACAGCCATGTTTCAAGGTAAGCCCAGGCTACACAGCAGGTTCTGGGCCAGTCTGACCTCCATAGCGAAAGCCTGTCTCAAAAAAATAAATAAGTGGAAACAATGGTTTGTGGTTAGTGCAAAAAGAAGTGGAGGCGACACCAGGATTTAAGAGACCACAATGCCAGAAATGTGAAGCTCTGAGGAAGATGTCCAGGAATCTCCACAGTGATTTCCAGAAGATGACTTAGAAAAACTAACTAGATTATGTTTTAGAACTTTTGTGTGTGCAAATATCTTTTAGCTCTACATTCTTTAATATGTCTCCCTTTCTTGGAAAATCAGCACAATTTACTCACTGTTGTGGCACCATTCCTCTACCATGCACCTATAAGCTAGAGTTATAAAATCTACCACAGCTGAACTATATTATATATATCCATGCTAAAATCTTGTGTTATGTACAGAAAAAATCTGTGTTCTGACAATCACATAAATGTCTAAATTATATAAAGTGCTATATGTTTATGCGCAAGCAAACATGTACAGAACTAAGGGTTAAAAGGACATATATAATTTTAGAATATAAGTGGTTCTACACATGAAAAGAAATGACAAGGGGCAATAAGACCTCAACCTTATCTATACTGTTCTATATTTCAGTGCAACACTGAAGTAAAGATGACAAAATTATAGTATCTCGTATATTAAATTTATAGATTCTTGTAGAATTTTCACTATAAAATATTTTAAAATTGGAAGGAAGAACTAACCCTCCAAAAGGGCACTGAGGGGCCGGTGACATAGTTCAGTGGACTAAAGTGCCTGCTTAGTCAAGCTTAGGCAAGCACAAGGACCACGGTTCAATCCCCGGCATTACATGCCATAGTCAGCCCCACCCCCACTCCCAGCATGGGCTGAGCCAGCCAGAGTCCCAGCATGGTGATGCATGCCTACAATCCCAGCACTGGGGAGGCTGAAAGCAGATTGCCATGAGCGCGAGCTGTGTAATGAGACCCTACAACAACCAAATAAATACATATGGATAATTTACAGTATCTAAATTTTTTCACATTCCCATCAGTAAAGGGTTTCTTTCTCATTGTGGCTTCTGCAGTATTTATTGTCTTGATTTTTTTTTCTTATTTTTCTTTTTTTTTTTCCATGTATTTGGTACAGGGTCTCACCACGCAACTTGGACTCAAAACAATCCTGTTTTCAACCTCCCCAGAGCTGGGATTACAGGCATACACCAGGTCTCCATGGTGCGCCTGGGGGCAGGGCCAGCTCCACTTGTGGTACCAGGGATTGAACCCCATCCCTGTGCTTGCCAAAGCAGGCTCTTAGTCCACTGAGCTACTTCGCTGGCCCTTATTATCTGATTTCTTGATGACATTCTTTCCGGAGTAAGATGGAATCCCAATGTTCTTTTAATTTGAATTTCTCTAATAGCCAGCAACACTAAATATTTTTCATGTATTTATTGTCCTTTGTACTCCTTCTAAGAAATGTCTTCATTTCAGTTGCTCATTTTTGATTGGGTCACTTATTATGGGGTTGTCAAATTTTAATTTTTCATATTAGTCCAGATTTTAGTCCTCTGTCCAAGGAAGAGCTGGCACCAAGCACTATGGAAATCAGTATGGAGGTTCCTCAAAAATCTAAAACTAGAAATTTCACCTGACCTAGCTATCACCCTTCTAAGTATCCTCCCAAAAGTTTTTAAAAAATCACATGACAGCAATGTGCCTATGTTTATAGCAGCACAATTCATAACAGCCCAATCTTGAGATCAGCCTATATGTCCATCAAAAGATAAATAAGATTTAAAAATTGTGGTACTTAAACACAATGGAGTACTACTCTTCCACATGGAAAGAAAAACTTGAGTCATCTCTAGACAAATGGATGCAACCTGAGAAAAGTGAAAGCAGTAGACACACAAGCTTCAATATCAGTTTCTCTTATGACAAACTCAAACAATGTAGAGCAAAACAGAAGATTGATAAATAGGAAGTAGGGAGAAGTTCAAATAATTCACCAAATTATCTACTACATTATTTAAAAAACATCTTAGGGCTGGAGAGATGGCTCAGTGGTCTAAAGCACCTACTTGAAACAAGCTTGGCAAAGCACAGGGACCGCGGTTCGATCCCCAGCACCACATGCCAGCCAGACCCGCCCCCCTGATGGGCTGAGCTGGTCACACACACACACAATAAATAAATGTAATAAATAAAAATAAATAAATATTTTAAAAAAAAGTTTAAAAAAAAAACATCTTAAAATATACAATAGTTTAGCTTTGTTCACTAAAAGTTTTGTCTGTTTCTTCTTTGTCTCTTTTTGTCTGACACGAACTCTGAATAATGCATTATCTATTATTCTCTAATTATTTTGTTAGAAAATTTTATTTTTTCATTTAAAAGTAAAAATTTTCACAACAGGTCATAAAATGACTCGGTCTTTCTAATCATCTTCCAGGCTCAATTTCAACATCACCATTCTTCAATATGCCTTCTCAGACTGTAACAGTAACAGTGTGCCATACACTGTTACATCTAGTTGCAGATTTACAAAACAACACATACCTCTCATTCACCCACGACACCCTCAGCCCTTCCCCCTGAACATTAACATATGTATACTTTGCGATAAATAAAGCTGACCCCTTTATCATTTTGTGAGTTTGTTATTGCTGGTTCCTGTGGCAAGGGTCTACAGGTACTCACTATACTGATCAGACTAGTAGTGATCCTCCTATTTCAGCCTCCCAAGCACTGGGATTATAAGCATGCACAACCACACCAGTCTCAATAGCTGTCTCAGTGCACTCCAGGGGCAGGGCCAGCACAACACATTGGGGATCAAGCCCTGGTCCAAGAGTCTGCCTAAGCAGGTGCTTTAATCCACTGAGCTATCTGGCTGGCCCTGTGGCCAATTTTTTTTTTTTTAATGGAAATTTTTCTGTGAACTAAAAAGATTTACGGAAGAGTTACACAGAGAGTACAGATTTATCACAATCTTGAGTTTCATCTACTTTGACATAATCCATAACCAATTTGCACTTAACGAAACTAAAAAATTAACAACAGAACATTAGTAGTAACTACTTTACTGACTTCAAATGGATTTCATAACTTTTCTCACTAGTGTTTTCTGTTCCAGAATCCAAACTAGACACTACAGCTCTTCAGTCATTGTGTCCCTTTTCTCCTCTGGTAAGCACAGGTATCTTAGTCTTTTTCTTTTTCATGGCCTCTGAATAACATCGACTAGAATAATGACCAAGTATTTGGTAAAATGTTCCAATGTGGGTTTGTCTAGTTTTTCTGATGCTTAGGCCAATCTTACAGAGTTTTGGGAAAAAGTGAGGGGGAAGACAGGATATCAATGTGACTAATCTTGCTCACCTGGTACAGAAAGTATCTGCAGAGTTTCTCTGTTTAGAGTGGCTATTTTTCAATTTGTCTAATTCTTTATTCTTATAATAGAGAGAAGGATTTGAAAGGAGTTGAAGAATGCAGGAAGAAAAATAATATACAAATATTTGGAATTCTTCTATAAGTTTATCCCTCCTCTCCTATTTACTCAACCATTTATTTAAGTATGGAATCATATATTGGTATTCTATGCTGGATAATGAAGACAAAGCTATAAGGATCAAGTTAATGTAGTTCTGACACCTAGGAGCTCTTTCAGACTAGCTTCCCTACCCCTTTGGCACGAAGTTGTCCTTCTGGTTTTGTAAGCACTTACTTCCTAAAGAGTGTGGCTCTTTTTACGACAGTGTATCTATAAACTGAGACCTAAACACTGGGTGTACAAAATGCTACTGGAGTGTCACTGTTTCCTACCCCTCTCAGCAGTAAGGGCTGAGACATACATATGTATATATTTACCCATGCACGTACACAATGTAACTACTCCCATATAGTTTTAAACTGAATGACCCACACAATAGTATCTCAGACTCTAATTTAGTACCCTGTGGTTAATAAGTAATCCCAGTTAAGCTTCCTATTACCTAGCACAATCATAAACTGTTTTTTCTATAAGCAAGCATTTTATCAAATTTCTAGTATTAGTCACACTGAAATAAGAAAGTAAAATACATTTAAAAATGGAATTTCATGACAGATCATCCCCACTACCTAGAATACTTTAAAACAGCATAAAATCAAGAAACTATGTTAATATTCCTACCTTTTAACCTACCTTTTTGTTTTGGGGTTTTTTTTTTAATTTTAGGGAAGGGCCTACAGGGTGTTCAGGGTCTCACTATAAGATTGGACATGTAGTGAGTCACCTGTTTACAACCTCCCAAGAGCTGAGATTACAGGTACTCAACACCACGCCCAGTCTCAATTGGAGGGGCGGGACCAGCACAGGCAAGCCTGGGGATTAAATCCCCAGCCCCTGCACCTGCTTGCAGGCACTTTAGTCCACTGAGCTATTTGGCTGGCCCATTTATCCTACTTTTTATAACAGGATGTATTACTGCAACAAATATTTTCTGAAAATCCACATACTCTAATGAAAAACAGGAAAAATGGGCTGGAGAGATGGCTCAGTGGTCTAAAGCACCTACTTAGAACAAGCTTGGCAAAGCATCGGGGACCGCAGTTCAATCCCCCAGCACCACATGCCAGCCAGCCCCGCCCCCTGGTGGGCTGAGCTGGCCACACACA